TACTACCTAATTTTTTCTGGGACTCAACTTACCAACCCGGCCCGTTTAAAAATACAGTTAAGTCTAAAAAAAATTATCAAAATAAATATATATTTATAGGAACTTCTTAGAAATCTAGATAAAATTAAAAATTAATTCGCAAATCATTCATTGGTAGATAAATAAATAGTATATATTGTACAATAATATAAGGTACCTATACTAAAGATAAATAGGTAGAATAATACAAAATAATGTTTAATTATTCGACAATTCACGAAATCAACGAGAATACAACGATTACTTACTCGTAATTAGGTAATAAGGTAATATTATATACCTTTAGAATATTATTATATAATAATATTGAAACCAATAGCTAATATTATTATTTTATTTTCAAATACCTTATACCTATGTTWCTGTAATGACCTTTAGCCCTACCACTCGTCGACATTTTCAATTAGGTTTAAGTACAAAATATTACATATAATTTAATATGTGAGTTGTTATACAAATAAGGTTAATATTCAAGTATAATAATAATAATAATGTGTTTTTACTTTTTTTTTTCATTTTATAGACAACTAAATTAAAATGTATATTGGTACCTATGTTTTATTATATTATATAATATTATTAGGTAGGTACTTAATATAATAATTGTATTATTTTTCTATAATGGTATTTAATATAAGTTATAAATAATAGCTAGTTAAAATTCTGCAGTTTAATGTAAAAATCACGTATTATAATATTAATATATAAGAAAAGGAATATTACATCAATTTTTATTATCTGTATTTWTCACTGTTAAAACATGTTTACGTCGGTCTTGTTCATTATTAGGAATAATTATTAATATTTATGTTTAAGTGCTTCTAATAATGCAATTGTATTTACAAGTTTGATGTTGTTTACAACATAATTAGGTATATTTGAACGTTAATATAAAGCGACTAGGTGAGCAATATAATATTGGAAACACGTTAAATGTATCTATTGCCCATTATACATAGATTCATAATTTTTAATTATTATTTCCATGTTTAGCATTGTAGCCATAAGCCATGTAGTCTTGTAGTTATAGCAACGGTGATAATAATGATGAGGGGAAGACTATTTGAATACTACATTATTTTATTACTTGCATAAGCTATAACTTTGATTAAAACATCACCAATACAAGATTCCTAGGTGGGGTGGGACATTCACGCCTACTCACTTAGTCGCTTTATAATAACGTTCAAATATACCTAATTATGTTGTAAACAACATCAAACTTGTTATGAAAATTTGGAAAAGGACAGGATCCCCCCCAATTGACCGTGTTTAATCTTTATAATACCTTTTCTATCTTATATTACCATGATTGAAAGAACGTTATACCCGCGTATGTGTTGTTTCCGTCCAGTGGCGCCGAACCCTACAATAAAGTCGGGCCATGGCCMGACATATTTTGAAAATTTAAGATATATGGCCGCTTCATATTGACCATTTTCCTCTCCACGGTATGCCATTTTTCCCCATATTAAGATGTTGGGCCTCATGAAATATTTTTCGCCCTWCTAGATTTTTAGGACTTCGGCGCCACTGTTTCCGTCTTACAAGTGTGTAACATACCAAATCTTATTCATGGAATTACTCTCTTATAAAATTTAAACGTAAGAGTACCTATTATTTAGTCGACCTCATATTTTAATTTTGAAGCGAAGTATTTTAATATATATGCAAAAAAATCTACAATTTTATAGCTCTTTTCAAATTTACAATAATTATAACTCACTTAAAAATCTACAAACAAAATATTATAAATATTTTTATATTATATAATAATTATATTTATTTATTTTATAATAGTAATGATAATAATAAAATAAAATAAATACATATATTTGGTAGTTTTCTCTAAGATAATTGCCAACCACAAAAACCAACTTAGAAAAAATAAGTTCTCCCGCTWAAGGTCAAATTATACCACTAATATAAATACATAAATATTTTATACTTAAAWATATAGGTTGCCTAATAATATAAAATATTATAGAACTTTTAAARTATCGGAAAAATTATTGTCTTAACTGAAAGAATTATATTATTTAAATCGTTATAGTGTTTACATTACATGTTTCGTAACATGTTGAGGAAACATAATATACGTCGTAATTCTATAATACTGTAGCTAATAGAAATAGGTTACGTTACAATTTATAAGTGCCTTTATGTTATTACTATTTAAAAATATTCTACCCWTCATAATTTTTTGTTTTTGAAAATTTTATAATCTTAATTTTAGATTCTGAGTAGAGCAAATTGAACAAATAAATTCAAGGTTACTGTAAAATAATTTAGGTTTATAATGATGTTTTTTTTTTGTTTGTCATAAAAAAAAAATGATAATACGCAGAAGATTAGGCAGATTATTTTGCTTAGTGTTTGTAATACATCAAAAATTAAGTGTTTTAATATTCCGAATTACCTACATGGCATAATATCAGTAGGTCCTGCAAAGGACTCTCCAGTCCCCTTAATAGCCATTTAATATAGCAGTATTTAATATCATTTATTATAAATACTAGTATTTAYAATCAACTGTGATACCTAATTACACTAAAATTAACAACTAAATAATGAAGAAATTAAATAAATCATTTTACTTGTTGAAAAACCATGGTATATAAAATGTAATACCTATAAACTGTTTATAAACTAAGCTATACAATTATTTATTATGTTAAAACATTTTGTTACTGCGATGAAACTAATGAAAAGGAAAAATAGCCTTATTAACAAGTACCAAATTGACTGTCAACTAACATAGATCTATACCTATTGGCTATCAATACATTCTAATGTTAAGTTTTCATCATATTAATTAATTATTGTACTCTTAAAAGGTGTTTGTGAAACTTGCTAAAAAATAACAAGTTATTATTAGTTTTTGAAAAAATTTTAAGGCTGAAATGCTTACCCTTTATTTCCTTTCCAGCATTATAATATTATTACTACAGAATAATTATTTAGTGATATTATTTCAGGAGAGATAGTGACATATTATAAAAATTGCTCAACTCGTACATTGTTTAAATTTTCATATATCAAATACATTTTTTATACAAATAATTTAACACAAGATTATATAAATGGCAAAAAAATTTCTTTAACTTCAAAATTAACAACTTAACTAATCATAACACTAGGTCTTTCATATAATATAACTTTATATTCATGGGCAATATTTATGGCATAAGCCATAACAATATTATATTAAATAAACATAAATTAACCAGCATGTTTCTTGGAAGTAACTTAAAGTAAGTATTACAAAAATTTAAGGCAGTACGAATATAGTTTAGTCTAAAATATCTGTACTTAATTTTAACAAAGTTGTAAAATTAGGAATTCATAGTTAATAAGTGTCAATGATAGAAATTTAGACGATTTCTGAATACTTAAAAATGTATTAAACTGTAACATGTTTGTAAAAATATATAACTATGGAATAATAATAATAATAATAATAATAATAATAATAATATCAATTTTAAAACTAATGATCGGTATGTACATCAAAGTCAGGATAAATACAGACACAATTGGTGTGATGGCATTGATATTATTTAAATGATTGAAATTACTTTCCATCTATATCTGGATATGATACATGGAAGTGTATCATCTGCAAGAAGGCTTTTTATTTGATAAGACATTTTTTAAATCATCTGGCAATGAGCAAATTATATCATCCATTTTCACTTTTAATTGATCTTTGATTCTTTTATTTAACTGGTATCCTTTGCTTTCACATTCATCCAGTTTTTGTCGTATTTTCAGTATCATGTCAACAATTTCTACTTCTTGTTTTCCTTCAAGCCAATTGTTAATATCCTAAAATTGATAAATAAATTATGGTATGTTAACCTGTATCAAAARAATAAGAATATTAATGTAGCATAAATAAAGTGGTTATTTTTTTACCACACTTGATAGCGCTTCAATTTGCAAAACTTGAAGTTTCATCATCATTCCTTTGTAACGGACATTGTACCAACCATTGAAATTTGGAGATCTAAAAAATTGCTTGTAAAGTCCTTTCCAGTCTCCTTTAATACCACATGTCAACTGAGGCCCAGCATATTCTAAACTGGCCAAAAAATTGTCTGGATTAAAAGGCCAAGGTTTAGGAGCCGCCTATAAAATAAAAAAAAATAATTCATTATCTGTACATGAAATTACGACATAAGCCAATTTTCATACCTTAAAAGGGGAAATGTTTCTTTGTAAAGGCATTAATGATGACATATATCGCTCAAGTGGTATCATAAAACTCTGAGTGAGTTCTAAAAAGTGCCTTCGCAATAGTGCTGATTGCACTTCTTCTGGTCGCTTGTTTTGCATTCCTCTAAGAAGTTTTTTCACGAATGATTTATCTTTATACAAATAAGGCTTATATTCTGTGTAAACTCCAGGTTTAGCATCTAAAATTTTAAGATTCGATCCTTTTCTTAATTTACTTTTATTTGTTGTGTCTAAATCAAACAATTAAACACAACCAATTCAATACATTTTATATTAAAATTTAAATAGATTGAATATTTTAAATAGTTGGCCAACTAAAGATTATTAAATTAAATAAACATAATTCTCCAACAAGATTCTCCACAACTTTTTMTTCAAATAACTGTAAAAAAAAACTCCAGAATCAATATAGAAAACATTTTATGAGCGTATAAAATATATTATAATTTAAATATAGGGAATATAATATACCCTATACTGACAAATCATCTCCATTCAGAATCATTTTTCTTATACAATGATCCCTGTCAATGCATTCAAATTTAACACATATATTATAGTGACCTATTATCAATTTCCATTATACAGCAGAATGATACCCACTTTCCCACTTTTTTTTTAATTCAATATAAGAAAGTAGTTACTATAATAAAATCATTTTTTCACAGTATTTTGGAAAATCAATTAAAAATAAAACTATAACATATTAAAGGYATTTGTTGCTAAAAGTTTTAGATRTTGGTAATATTGTAAATGATATTTCTATTTAGGTTTAATCATAAAATTTGAAAGTTAAATTTACCAAATTAAGTTAAAATACTGTATAAAAATAATACAAAAAAAAAATTGTCAATAGTAAATGTACAATATAGTAATAATACTATAATTTTCAAATTTATAATTCTTTAAATAATATTTGACTATAATATAAAGCATTTTATGATAAATCTGCAAATCAATAATATTTGATAATTAAAAATAAAAAAAAACAGCATTCATTTTTTTCCTCAAATAATTATATTACTGAAGGATGAAATATTTAGTCTTCTGCTCTAGATGAATAAACTCAAAAACAAAAAATTCTAATAATTACAGCAAAAACTGTTATGGTATTAAAAAATAAGTTAAAAAATATAAATTGTTAACTCAAATTAGTTTAAGTAACTTCCACAGCCAAGTTAAAATAAATTATAAAAATGGCGAAATAAGTAACTACTCTGCTGTACAGTAGGTAGAGGACGCTTTACCCATATATGTTGTCTCCATCTTATAAACGCATAACATAGCAAATTTTAGATACGTTAAGCTCYGTTAAGCTCCTAAGTTAGATGAAATATCATTATTTTACATTTTTTGAACACAATTAATGTGGCATTCCAGAATTTTTTTTTGTTACATTTTAGTTTTAATACATTTATAAGACATCTTATATTTAATTTTCAAATCTCTAAAAAAAAAAAAACATGAACATTCTTAGTTTAAAAAAATCTATACGAGAGTGTGTGAGCCCACCATTAAACTCTGAGGAAGTAAAACTTCTTTCATAAGTATTTGAGTCCATGAAATTATTAGTGAATTAAAATTTTTTTTTTTAATTCAAGCTTCAGCAACTTAGGGTATTAAGTGTAGGTTAGTTGGTACTATTTAGTTTTAGGACTGTAGGTTTTTAGAACACTTGTGTGCAGAATTTCTAGTGGGCACCCGTAGGGTTTCTGYCATGCCCAGGTAGGGGATTTCGGCCTCTTTCTCCAGACACCATGACAGTCCAAAGAGGGGTGCCGCCCAATACCGAGATTTGAACCGGCAATGGTGTATTCGCAGCCAATGCCTATTTATAATTAATTTTATATATAAATT